AACCATCACGCCTGCGCATTCACACTTTTCCGCCGCGACCCGTCGCGTCAGCGCGCGAGGGTAGTTAGCTCCGCCCACGTACGCGCCCCACCCCGGGGCCGCGGGGCCTCGGCCGCCCCTGCGCGGCCTGCTGGAGTGCGAGCGCCTTCTACTGCGGCTGCGCAAGCTCGGGGCGCGCACGCTCGTGAGCTTCCAAGGGCTCCTCCCTCCAGCCTAGGCCCCTCCGGGCGTCTGTGCATCCTACGCTTTCCGGTGAGTCTTCTAGTTGGTTCCTTGGAAGCTGTTTTGCGGTGACCGGTACTCAGCTCTCTTTAGCTCTTCTGAGAGTGGGTCCGTCTTCTTGACCATTTCGCTTCCGAAGTTCACATTAAAGACTTCTGGTGGGTCCTGCAGGCCGACGACGCCGGGTTCCGGCTCTGTCACTTCAGATTCCGCAGGAGGATCTTCACCTTGTTCACGGCTTACTTGAGTGTTCCACACGCCTCGTGAGTGCAGTCGTCTGACCAGTACTGACCTTGGTGGGGGCGGCTCTGTCACTTCAGATTCCGCAGGAGGATCTTCACCTTGTTCACGGCTTACTTGAGTGTACCACACGCCTCGTGAGTGCAGTCGTCTGACCAGTACTGACCTTGGTGGGGCCAGCAACTGAGGCCACACAAGATTTCCCAACGGCCAAGTCCAGCCCTGCCCGAGAATCCAGAATCCCCCACGTGACTCTGCAGGATGAGCGTCCTACACTCCCGACGAAGTCCCGCTTTGTAGAAAAGGGGCGCTTGCCTTTGGGACCAGGAAAGGAACCTGTTCTGAGAAGGCGTTGGTGCAGTTACAGTGAATGCTCCCCCGACCCTCCCACCCACACCCAGACTCCGGCCTCAAAGCCCAAAGTTGGACCTTAGGATGAGTACTAGCCCAGGGGTCTTTCGCTTACTCTATGCCAGGTGCAGTTTAGGCACTGGGGATACGTTTGGAAACAAAATAGACACAGTCCCTGTCCTCAAGAAGCTCACAGTCCCAAGGAGGAGATAAATAACTCACTTGGAAACGAGAGAACCTGGGGTAGGATTAAGTGCTCTGGTATGAATAAAGTAGTAATGGGGGAGGCAGAATAGTCAAGGGAAGAGCTGTTTTAGGAGGCCATGATTGAGCTGAATGTTTTAAGTAGCCCAGCTTGTGAAGATGGGGGAAAGGCATTCCAGTTAGAGGAAAATAGGCCTGAAAACTGGGATATACTTACGTTGTTTAAGAAGCAGCTAGAGGGCGTGTGTAGCTACATCTTAAGTGAAGGAGACAGATACTGGTAAGCTGGGACCAACTGGATCACTAGGCTATAGTAAAGAATTTATATTCTAAGAGGCATGGGAAGCTGTTGAAAGGTTATTAGAAGATTAAAAATATCATTAAAATACTTCTGTATAAGCCTACGATATACCTGATACTGGAATATATCTGTGGAGTTAGGGTGGCCTCAAAAAGGTATAGAAGTGAAATGTTCACCAAAATGCTAGAAACTTCCTCCTAAGGCAGTCCCTGAAAGTCACTAAGTTTCTACTGTATGCGAATCGTTATGCTAGTAATTGTGAGAACAGGAACTCAAAATACATGCTCTTACTTTTGATACCAGAGGAAAGGGTCTGGCGTAGGTCAGGCTGCAGACCTTTCAACCCTGTCCCTTACCAGGTTTTTGACTCCATTGCAGGAGAGAATTCAAGAGCAGGGTCAGGGTAGAAAGTGAAAACAAGTTTAATAGAAAGAATAGTAAATACACACTAAACAGGCGAAGTTCAGGCAGTTGGCTTTTATAGTTGGCTACTTAACATTTTCATGCTATCTATGAGTATTTAATTAAGGGGGTGGTTCTCAGTTACCTAACTCCTAGTCTGGGCATGTTCGGCCATGGACATTGATCAAGTTTGCCTCTTGTGGTCTCAGTCTTCCTGTGTTGTGCTGGAAAACAGGTGCAACATGCAACAGTAGCTCTCTTCTGGCTCAGGACCAAGGGGCGGGGCCTGAGCTCCAGGAGAGTGGTTTGAGGTTCAGAGGAGTGACCTGAGACCCAGACTCTGGGAAACTGAGCGCCTCCTGTGTATGAGGAGCGTGGAGGCTGAGAATTGCTTCCATTGATTGGGCACCTATTTTATGCCAAATACTGTTAGATAATGGAGATGTTTTGTCTCATTTCGCCTTTAGAACAACATTGTAAGGTAGATATTTTAGCATGCTTTAGAAATGGAAGGGAAAAAAAATGTTCAGAGAGCCCCGTTAAGTGATTTGTGTAAAAATTACTTAGCTAGCTTGTTTGCAGAGCCACGTTTCCAACTTAGCTTTTAAAAACTTCAAACTCTGATCTCTCCACTACACTGACATATTTCTAGATAATAGTAAAAAAGTTGAGGCATGCAATCTATGACAAATAATTGTTCTCAGTTATGGAAAGGAGATTATGTTCAAAATCTAGTTGATATTTACAGATAAAAATAGAGAAACTACAGATTTGATTAATGTACCCATCTATACCAGAGTTAGGGTATTTCTCAAAGTGCA